CCGTGCATACGCACGCGAACCGTCCGTGCGCACAGAACACCGCGGGCAGTCTCAACTTGACGAGATACGATAATTGCGAAAATTCTTAACCTAATAAATAATTCTCTCTTAAAAAAAAGAGTGCAATCACTTCGGTTTTTAGACTCCAGGTGAGTTCAATACGAAGACAATTATACATTTTCTACATATAATTATAAGCTCCCGATTTTATCCCACATTTTTACTTTTAATGGGACTTCCTTCACAACCTCAAATCTGAGTCAAAACATTGGATTTAATATTTTTCAACGTTTGCCAGTTGAGAAAGTCTAATTTTTGTTTATCTGTTATTATCTTGATGGTAACGATATTCTCTGATTTCTTCGAAATCTGACGTCCTTTCTCTATTATCCGGTCATGTATTGACTTCCAGCTTCATCATGAGAAGAAAACCTGGAATAGGAGCAATTCACAAACAAAAACTCGAGCAAGAGAAGTACAAAGACAAGGGAACAGAGATCCAAGAGAACCAATTCGAGCAGATGACGAAGCAAATGGAGATATTTCGAACGAATCTCGAAGATTTTGCAACGAAACACAAAACCGAGATTAAAAAGAACGGACAATTTCGTCGTCAATTTACAGAAATGTGTGCCTCTATCGGAGTTGATCCATTGGCATCTGGTAAAGGATTCTGGTCGGTATTGGGCATTGGTGATTTTTATTACGAATTAGCAGTGCAGATTGTCGAGGTTTGCATGGCAACTAACTACAAAAATGGGGGATTGATCACTCTGGATGAGTTGAGGGAACGATTGGTCCAGGCTAGAGGTAAAAGAAAGGAGCATCAGGATATCACTAACGAGGATTTACTAGCAGCTGCGAAGAAGCTCAGGATTTTTGGGAATGGATTCTCAGTTGTTCCCATTGGAAGAGGAAAGTATCTCGTACAGTCAATTCCTGGAGAACTGAGTATGGATCATACTGCTGTCCTGCAACAGGCCAGTACCCATGGCACTGCGTACACATCTGTGGAACTGCTTCAAGCAGAATTGAAGTGGGAAAGGGATAGGGCGCAGAAAGCTCTGGATCACATGATGAAAATGGGCCTAGCCTGGCTAGATGACCAGGCAGAGGAAGGCAATCTCTACTGGTTTCCTAGTTTATTCACTGCTTGTGTGGACTCTTCTTAACTGTAATTATTGGTAAGTTGGAGAGAATTATTGGAAATCTTACGTTATATATCATTTTCATTATGCCATTTTTTCAGTGCGTTGAATTATTTTGAAGTCACTTCAAGTAATAATTGATTTAGGAAACCATTGACTTAAGAAGAACTAGTAAAAGATAATATTTAATCCTATTCTAATAATTTTAGAAGTAATAGTCGAACTTGTTCATTGATTTTTTGTTTTTATTCTTTGGTGTAATCATGATTTGTTTCATATTTACAGATACACTACATACGGCGCTATTAATTGTGGTAATTCTAATTCGACGTCATCTACAATCACCATCGAAGCTGAAATAAAATAAATCGAATGAGTTCAGTATTCGAGGATTAAATGAATATATTGGTAAGTGAAATAGATTTTGGATTACCTCTGCGTCATTTGTGCTCTGCAGTGAGCCACTTGTTGACGACATGTCAATAATTCGTTATTTAATTGTTCATTTTCCTTTCGCAATGAACAAACTCTGGACTTGAGCTCCCTGTATCGAATTTGGAATTTATTAGCCAGAGAATGAGCCTCTTCTTTCCACCTGAATATGGATTGAAATTGGTTTTAATCGAGTTTACAATTGAGTACTCCACACAAAAATATTTCCCTATCATTTCGGGTATATTTATAAGGCTACAATGTAAATATTTACTTGTTGGATAGTTCCTGGTGAGTTCTGACATGCTTTGTCAGTTCCGTAATTCTCTCTTCATATTTCTCTCGAAGAATATTCAAATTCGACGTTTTATCTTTGATCACTGCATTCATATCTTCATCCTTGTCTCTGAAATAATTAATTAATCTAATTTATTTACAAAGTTTATTTCATTGGACTTTTTTAAACCAAATAATTAAAGGAATGTAATTTCTAAAAATCGAATTAGAGATAGAATTTCCATTTTAAGAATGAAAAAAAAAAAATTGACTCACATTATTTGACCTTTTCTTTCCTCCAACGCCTTCTGCAAATTCTCTATTTGTAAATTCAACTGGCTAGCCTTCATCCCTGCTTTCTCAACCAGATCATTAGCATTCCTTACATCTTCCTGCAGCTCTCTAATTCTTCCTTCCAGTAATCTCCTCTCGTTCTCTCGCCTTGAGATCTCCCTATCAAAAGTAATTTGTAGAGATCTCAGTTCACTGGCCACATTCTCCCTCTCATCCAGAGCCCTCGTCAGCCTCTTCTCAATCCCAGAATACCTCTCCATAGCTTCCTTCGCTCTCTCATCAGCTTCTCTGATCCTTTCCTCCATCTCCCTATTCCCAAACAACTGACTCTTCCTCAACCGATTATTAGCATTCGATAATTTATCCTCAAGTTCTAGAATTCGACTCTCAGACGTTCTCATCTTTTCCTCGATTTTTTTCTTATTCGTCTCCTCACAAATCATCAATTTCTCCTCAGATTCCTTAAGTTTCTGTTGCAATTCAAGAACTCTGGAAGATGATCGCTGCAAAAAGTCCTCACTCCCATGTTTTCTCTTTTCCATCTCCTCCTCTAACATCTGCATTTCCCTCTGTGTTCGATCAAGAAGAGTCACCTTTTCCCTCAACTCTGACTTTAATTCCTTGATATCCAAAGAATATTTCTTACAATTCATTTCAAAATTATCTTTACACTCTGACAATTCTCGCTCAAGTTTCATCGCAAACTCCTCCGCCACATTCGTCAAATGAGATTCTAGTTTCGATTTCTCTTCTAAAACAGCGGCTTCTCTTTGCATGATCATTTCCTTTTCTCTCATTGCCGTCTCCACCAGAACAATCGCCTCAGCAACTTTAGCTTTCGATTCCTGATCTTTGGTTGCCATTCTCGTGGCTAGACATCGAGTCTCGACTAATTCAATTTCCAATTTCTGTTGGGATTCTTTATTCACTTCCAATTCCCGTTTCATTTCTTCCAACTTCGCGTTCACGTTCTCTATAATTTTTTTATGAGTTTCCTCGTTGATTAACAAGTCATTCTGAAGATTTTGGATTTCTCTCTGAAGTTCGGATTTTTCCTGATTGAGGCATTCAACTCGATCCCTGCAGGACTCCCATAAACCTTGATGTTTGATAAAATTTTCCTTAGCTTGAACTAACTTTGACTCTAGAACCTTGATGGCCTCGCAGTAAGTCTCTTTGACGTGATTCACCTGTTCCTCGTAGTATCTGTGGGCTGCCACGTCATTGTGGGAGGTTTTTACCTCGTTATCAAGGGTTTCCACTGTCTTCAAGGCCATCTGCCAGAGTTGGAACATGGAATCCTTCTCCAATTGGATCAGTGTTATTTGCTGCTTGAGATTGTCGATGCTCTCTTTATCGTCAAGATTTCTAGGGCACTCTGTATTATTGGAGTGAGAGAACGAAGTTCTTGCCACTTCGACTGCGATTCGATTCTCGTTTCTAAGGGATTCAACTTCTACTCGTAAACGAAGTTGTTCTTCCTAAAAATTCGATGTAATCTGCCATTGTGTATTTATATCAACCGATTCTGACGGTAGTGATTTTATGAAATTTTCCTTACTTATAAGTCTTTATTTGTAATTGGAATAACAAAATAATTTATTCCTGTTTCCTTATTATTAGTAACAGATGATATATTAATATGTGATTGCTCTTTAAAAATTAAAATCGTGAAAATAATCTAGTGATGAATGAGGATTGAAATATTAACAGAATTTGAACAGGAAATTTCAATTCGCTGTATTTTTACTGTTATGAAACGACATAATTCTCAATAATTATTGATTTATTTAATCTACAGATCTATGGAAAACTTCTGAACTCACCTTGCAGTCCTTCAAATCTGCGTGGAGACTCTCCACAATCGCTTCATATTCTTGAATGATGGACTGTCTCTCATCGATCCTAGGAACATTAATATATGTAATAACCGTATAAACAATTAGTTTCTAAATATCTTCAAGATGATTATTATTGACCAGTAACCAATTATCACTCACCCAGGCTTCTCCATTCGCTCAATCTCAGTTCCCATCATTTTTAAATATCAATTATTCTCACTCATTCCTCGAGAACCAAAAAAAAGCGATTTTCAGTTACGATTTTGGTTATGACAGCGTTTTACAAATTCTAAACAACTTTTTCACTACGAAAAATTCAGAAAAGCTTTCTCTGGTGGCTTGACACCCGTTAACGTAAACAAACCGGTAAATGTGGATATTACCGCCATCTCTGAGGACTTAATGCAAAATAAAACGTTTTTTGTGGGTCAGTATGTATGTACTCGCATCGTGTGCAGAAATACCTGCATAAATTTGTCATTTCACCCACTTTTATGTCCCATATTGAACCAATTAATTTTTTCATCTGTTCCCCTAGTCCTTTTATTCTCTTCATCTCCTGTGACAACCCCTTATTAGTTGAGATTTGCATCGGTGGACGTTTTGGTTAGGAAATCTGTAAGTCACAGTTTCTCCTCAACATATTGATGGAAAATGTATTCATTCAGGTCCATTATTCATTGATTGTTGATAAAAAAAACAAATTGTTTGGTATGTGGAAGTTAATTTCTCTGTTTTTTCCTTTAGGTTTTAATTGAGACTTGGGATAATGGAGCAGGATGATAAGAAGAGTTTAATCGAAGGTCAAGGTGTCAAGCAATTGCATTTGTCATTAGCTGAGACAGCAGCTGGACCTCAGGATGACAGTGAAATTCGATATAATGGAAAAGATGATCATCAGGCAAGGAAGTTTTTGGATTCACCTCTGGATTCTAGCATGGAGGGGTATGACTTCACGCGTAAGTAACTTTTGTGTTTTTTTTTTTATTTTTTCCACGAAAATACCTTCCGGAAAATAAAAGAACACACAACATTTATAAAAAAATCCCAAGTATTCTACAAAAATTGATTTTTGGAACCGAGAGATAAAGGTATTTATTTTATTTAACGTCAGAATTCGGAAAATAGCAAAACAGAATTGGAGTTTTGACATATACTCGAACTTACTCCCCTGTCGACTGATACTCCAGGTAGTGTCACTCACTCCTAGGACTTCCGAGCAACCATATGAACTTTTAATTCGATAAGGAGTCATTACGACTACTGTTACAATAAATGACACATCGAGCTTTCTCACGTCGTGCGAAAATTCATAAAAAATGCCTGTGTCTGTAAGAAATAGGAAAAAAGCTGCTAAAATCAAAGGTTCATACATTTCAATGGTTTTTTCATTACTTCATTGCTCTCGATTGTGTGCAGTTGTTAAGAGTGTTTCTAGAAAATCGGATTCTATTTTTCAGAGAGCTTTACCTCTGGAGTAGAAAGCGATCCTGATGATAGTAATGTGAGTGAAAGCTTAGTGATTGCACCACCTGCAGAAAAAAAGTATGATCCAACGATAGATGATAGATTACCAGAAACCGTCACTTTACTTACTACCCCTGATGGTGCCAAAGTTTATTTGATTGGAACTGCCCATTTCAGCGAAGAAAGCCAGAATGATGTGTCCTTGGTAATTACTACGCCAAACCGTTAATTTCCCTTTTTTATTATCTTCTATTTCATTAATATTGTATAGATGAGTTTGTCATTTAATTTGTTCTACAATTAAATCAATTGCTATATTTGTAACAATGGAAATATTTTTTTTTACAAGATAATTCAAGCGGTCCAACCACACATAGTAATGGTTGAGCTTTGTGAAGCACGTGTTCATGTTCTTCAACTCGATGAGAAAACAATTCTTGAAGAAGCTGGAAATCTCACACTTGCTAAAATGCGGGCAACCATAAGAAAGAATGGTTTATTCAATGGACTCCTTTATGTTTTATTATTAAACATGTCTGCAAACTTGACTAAGCAGTTGGGAATGGCACCTGGTGGTGAATTTCGTCGTGCATTTCTTGAGGTAATGATTCATGAATGAATTAATCTGTTAGCATTCCTTTTAAAATATTTAATTGACTGCATTCGTTTTATCTCAGGCTAAGAAAGTTCAAAGGTGTCTGGTCCACTTGGGCGACAGGCCCATAAATATCACGATTCAACGAGCCCTCAGTTCTCTATCCTGGTGGCAAACAATAAAACTCCTCTGGAATCTCCTCAGGACGAAAGAGCCAATAAGCAAAGAGGATGTAGAGCGTTGTAAACGTAAGGATTTCCTGGAAGAGTTACTCACAGAAATGGGAACACAGTATCCATCTCTGCGTGAAGTGTTTGTGAAGGAACGAGATATGTATCTTACACACTCACTGCAGCTCGCTGCTTTGCCAATTCCAACGCCTCATGGATTAATACCTTCCAGAGTTGTTGGCATTGTGGGGATTGGACATACGCCAGGAATGATTGAGCATTGGGGAACTATTAAACCTTCTGATATTGCTCCTATTATGAGGTGAGAAAACTCTCAGGCATTCCAATGGAAAGATGAGAAAATATTTTCTAAATAAATTCATAGCTTCTCCTACGGAAAAGTCTGCGAAAATACGTAGAATATTTATAATATTGAATTATATTATCTAATTTCCAATGTTGTTACTGTTTCAGAACACCAGAACGCTCTCTCTCCAGCAAAATCCTTCGAATATCTTTAAAAGTCTCCCTTCTGGGTGCTGTGATATACGTAGGCTACAAGTACATCCCACTGCCATCAGCCACTACTCTGCAATCCCTAAAGTCATCGGTCGAGGGGCTTCTGAAGGTCAGTGCAAATCGATAGTCAACCAAACAATCAAAACATTCCCCAAAACCTCTGCAAAAAGAAATAAAACAAAAACTAGAATACAAAAAAAAATCAACGCACTTACAAACACCAATTATTGTCTATCAACGAGAAAACCAATTTATATTCAATTATTCTTGTGCTGCTCTGTCGTCCAAGTATCTTCAGTCTTCGCTGCTGAATCTGTCCAATTAAACCTCAAGAGGACATAATAATTATCATAGAAAATAAAATCATGGAAATAGCCAGGGGAGAGTCGGACAATTACGACCACCCAATTCCCTCTGTAATGTACATCACTACGAATATCCCGGGTGTAGGGATAAACGCGAGAGACTTTGAATCTGAATTCTCTGTTGGATGTTCGTGTACAGAGATATGCGAAGAGTCTTGCTCATGTATGAGAGGAATTGTCAATTACATCAACGATCGATTAAATCCTGATAAAAAATCAGGTTTAATTTTAGAATGTAATCCAGCATGTTCCTGTCTTCAAAGCTGCAGCAACAGATTGGTTCAAAGTGGTCCACTGACTTGTCTGGAACCTTTTCAGACTCCTGCAAAAGGAATTGCACTCAGAACAAATGAATTTATATTGGAAAACCAATTTATCTGTGAATATGCTGGCGAGGTGATTGGAATTGATGAAGCTAGGAAAAGAATGGAGGATAATAGAATCAAAAAGAAAATGAATTATATTCTTGTAGTGACTGAGCATGTTGGCGATAGGAAGATAACAACTTGCATTGATCCAAGCATCTTTGGGAATATTGGAAGATACTGCAATCATAGTTGTCAGCCGAATGCTAATCTCGTGCCTGTGAGGGTGGAGGGACTCGTTCCAAGATTGTGTTTATTTGCAAGTAGAAATATTCAAATGCGAGAAGAAATTACATTTGATTATGGAGGTGGACTTGAGAAAGATGAAAAAAATTTCAGTGAGACTGTCTGTCTGTGTGGATCTAGTGGCTGCAGTGGATTTTTACCCCATCATCCCGTTTGAATTTTTATTCAATTTTGAGTGAAGACTTTATTTTTTTTTGCAAAAGTAATAGAGTGTGGAAATGCATTCAGAAAATCAGGATCACGAGTTTTTGTGCACAAGTCTTGAATATTTAAAACCCTCCAGATGTAAATAATACAAATCCGATGATCCACTTATGGTGGAAGAAAACTGTCAACGAATAACTAATAAAACTATTTTTTTTTAGAATTAAATAGAAGTTCAATTGGATTTTATGATCATATGAAGCATTTATGAAATATAAAAAGGAATTCTAGTTAAGATGATGGAATACATGGCAATATTATCAAGCATATGAGTTTTTTCTTCAAATCAACTTCGTTATATGTCGTGTCATTAAATATTAAATGAAACGATCCACCAATAAATACCTCGAGAAAATTTATGAACGAATAAGAATGATTGTTTATGGTTAAGACAAAAATTTAACTATGAGTTGTTCACGAATTTTAAATTGTTTATTATTAATAAATACTGTGTATTGACTAATGATAATTGCCAAATTGATGAACGTTGCTATCTCAAAGTGTTTAAATTATTTTCAACCCATTTTTTTTTCAAATATCTTCGTATATCTCTTATCTCTAATCACTTCACAACTTGTCAACAGCATTTTTATATTAATTAACAGACAAATCGCGGTAACCCGATTCGAAGTCGCTTGGGGAGCGAAAAAAATTCGGGCTTGACATGATTGTTTTTCATTGCTAAATATGCAATGTTAATGGATGATATTAAACATAAATTTTTCTACTCTCGTAATGAATAACAACAGATGCAGATTTCTCAGATCAACTCCAACGATTTAACTCCTTACTATTTTTTTTTAATAGAAGAATTAATGCCGAGTATTCTCCACTCAATCGTCGTGTTTCGTTATTTTCATTAATAATAAAATATCATATAACAGTCAAATTGTTAAGTTGAGCAGAATTAAGAAGCTTTCTGCTGCTCCTGTTCAATCTCAGCGCTGAATCTCCATCTCCAGTAAGCGACCTTCATTCTATCCCAGATATTATCGAACGAATCCATAGCAGGCCTCACATCCAGCAGTGCAAATTTGTATTTGGCATCGACAGCTCCACCATCGTAATAATCAATGATATACCTCACGTCTTTTCCACATCGGTCGACGATCCAATCGTGACGATCAAAAGGTAATTCATATCCCATCCAATGACGTATTTTAGCACGAGGTGAAAAATCCTTAGCTTTACCCCCAAAGCTCTTCAATTTTGGTTCTCCACAATCCCTGGCATGAAGGGCCTCCCACTTGAGAACTTCCTGCCAGGCCTGTTCGTTGTTAGCATTATGAATTTTTATAATATCCTCCATATCCTTTGGTTTGACATCCTCATCCTTCCAACGCCAGCCCTTCCTCAGCATTGCATTCCAAAACATCTGTTGTGACGGATAAACCCAGAATTCGCCTTCTCCGGTCGCTTTGGGAATCGAAGAGACTTGTCTGTCTGTTGGCAGTTTGAATGGTTGATCTGGAGCTGGATTTTGATTTCCAGCTGGCATCATATTCAAGGGATTTATTTCGTTGAGGTCCATGTGGTCAATCGGACACTCACTCGTGTATTTCTGGGACTGTTCGACGGATTTCTGATGCATCGGACATTCTGGAGGAGGTGAACCCTCAAATGTCTTGTGAGGGTGAGGATACTTGCTTGTACTTGATTGAGGTACTTGAGTAATTGAATCTGCTGCTAAGACTGTTGCTGATGTCACTGTGTTCCCCATCTTTTCTATTATTCTATCACTGCAAAGATAGATCCAAAAAGACAAAATCGATTTTATCCTTATTATTGGAAATTTATGATTAAAGAAACATATTTAATACATAATGATTCCTTGGAGGTTATGCTACTGGAAGAAGGAGTTTCAACTCGACATGGTTCGTTCTGGATTTTCATAAATGAATGTAATACAATTGTTTATGAAAGAAGAAATTATAAATTAGAATACCAGTACGTCAATTTATTTATAGCTGAAAAATCAGTGCGAAAAATAGTCTTACCGAAAACTGATGATGTAATTCTTTAATATTGTATAAAGCACGTGAAGAACACTTGAAAATCGTCTCGTTACTCCGCACTCCAGTAATTGATCGATTAATGTATTTAAAATGCGACAGTTGTTAAAAGATTTTTAATTGAGCTTATATTAATTTCTTTGGATTTAGTGAAACCGAGACTGAAACATCTGAATCTCGAGCTCTCGAAGTTTCGAATTGTCAGTAAAGCAGAATTCTATTTTATTTCTGCAAAAGCTATAATATATATATGTAGTTCTCTCTCATAGTGAAAAATGGCTGCTGTGCTGGATGAGGTTGGCAAATCCGCTGAGAAACTCATCGACGAGGAAGTCGATGATGTCGTTGATGACGAGGATGACACAGGGCCAACTGATGTAACCAAGAAGAAGAAGAAAAAGAAAAAGAAGAAGAAGACAGGTGAGTTAATTATGTAACCTATCATTTGTTTTGGAGCAAAGTGGGTGTTATCCGGTGCTCATGGTCAACGTGTTATCCTGAGTCAACCTCATCTCCAAGAAAATATCATCGGCTTCCATAAACTCCAGCCCCATCCGTCATCCCCTCATTCCGCCGAAATGCAAAACCTCCATATTTTCCCAAGAAAAATAATCCTCATCAATCATTTGAGGTTAACGAATGTGGAGGATAGATAATGACGACCCTGAAGCTTCCAGAAAAAAATCTTCAATAGCGAATATCTGATGAAGAAAAGGAGCCATTAGAAATTTCAAAAGTTAAATTTGTGAAGTGTATCGAAATCGTGATGGTATTGGGGTATATAAATAAATAAATAAGGGGTTGTTTTTTCAATAGTCTCAACGAAGACCATCGCTGCGCGAAATTCCCAAAGATGTTTATATATTCCTCCTGAGGGAAAATTCCTTGATTAGTTAGTAATAATTCCTGCGGCTTGATTAGCTCCTGGGGAGGGAGCAACTCCAGAGGCTCCAGATGAGAAGAAGGAAGACGAGAGTGAGGGTCAGGAAGGTGCTGCTGAAAATGGGGGAGACCCTGAGGATGTCAAAAAGAAGAAGAAGAAACGCAAGCCACGGGGGAAGGGACAGACGAAGCAACAGACAGATCCTCCGAGTATACCAGTGTCTGAGCTCTTCCCCGATGGGAATTTCCCAGAGGGCCAGATAATGGAGCACCCTCCAGCTGCTGGAGTTGACGAGAGAACCGCAAAGAACAGATTCACGAGTGAAGAGGCCAGAGCTCTCGAACGAATGCTCAATGTCATTTACACGGAGGCACGTCATGCAGCTGAGGCTCATCGTCAAACCAGAAAACACATTATGAACTGGGTGAAGCCTGGCATGACGATGATTGAGATCTGCAATGAGCTCGAGAGTACTGCGAGGAGGCTAATCGGTGAGGATGGCCTCAAGGCTGGTCTGGCCTTTCCCACTGGCTGCTCCAGAAACCACTGTGCTGCCCACTATACTCCAAATGCTGGGGATACGACTGTTCTCAATTATGACGACATCACCAAGATCGATTTTGGCACTCACATCAATGGAAGAATCATCGATTGTGCATTTACCCTGGCCTTCAATCCTAAGTTCGATAAACTGATCGAGGCAGTTCGTGATGCCACAAATACTGGGATCAAAGCTGCTGGAATTGATGTCCAGCTCTGCGACGTTGGAGCTGCTGTCCAGGAGGTCATGGAGTCGTACGAGGTCGAGATCGATGGGAAAACTTACCAGGTAATTTTTTTTGAGGATCTCGGAATCTAGACCTGATATTGAAATTTTCGTTATAAGCTTTTTTGTAGAGTTATTTGAGGGCTCCAGAAAACCTTTCTATATAAATTATTCTATTTTCCTTTGATCTTCAGATATTTATCGAGAACAAGCTGAAAGTTGATAGAATGATACCCTCTCCTATTGCGCGCTATAAACTCGTTATCGCTGGTTTCCAGGTAAAATCCATCAGGAATCTCAATGGACACTCTATCTTACCCTATCGTATTCATGCTGGTAAGACAGTGCCCATCGTGCGAGGAGGTGAAGCCACCAGGATGGAGGAGAACGAGTTTTATGCTATTGAAACGTTTGGATCGACTGGACGTGGAGTTGTACACGACGACTCCGATTGCTCGCACTATATGAAAAGCTTCGACGCTGGTTTCGTCCCTCTGAGGCTTCAGAGTAGTAAATCGTTGTTGAATACTATCAACAAGAACTTCAGTGCGTCGCAAGAATTTTTTTTTAACTTATCCATGAATTAGAGACCAAGGGTGATGATTTATTCCATTAATTAAATCATTTCAGGCACTCTGGCATTCTGCAAACGGTGGCTGGACCGAGCTGGCTGCACCAAGTACCAAATGGCATTGAAAGATCTGTGTGACAAGGGTGCAGTGGAGGCATACCCCCCACTGGTAGACGTCAAAGGCTGCTACACAGCTCAATTCGAACACACACTCGTTCTACGTCCCACATGCAAGGAAGTCATCTCACGTGGCGATGACTATTAGTCCACCCAAAACCACTCGTCATTGGTGATCCAGCATTTATACACCTCGTTAACAGAGGAAAAGCGAGAGAATCATCAATAATCTTTTTCTACATTACTCTTCATTTCTCATATATTTCTTCCTCCTTTCTTTCCAATTCTTTCCTCCTCTTTTTGGGTATTGATGGTGTCAAGAGAGAATTAATACTACTGTTGAATAAAAAAACAACAAATACGTGGTAATTGATTTCTTATTTATTTCATCGTCTCGCAATCATTGCGAAGGCTGATCTGATCTGCTTTTCCCTTGATCAAACGAAAGGAAGATAAATAATCGTGGCTACTTGGAGTTTAATTTGAAACGTTTATATCTTTATTTTTCAAATTTTCTCATACTCTTAATTTAATAATTCTCATGCTAGACTCAAACGCCAGGAAGTAATATGTTACAATTTAAAATTAAACCATGGAATGAAACACCTCGAGCTACATTTCATTAAAACTACTAATTAAAATAACTGAAGTAATTCGAATATCGAAGATTAATATTTCGAAGGAAAAAAATCTCGACGCACAAGGAGTGCCTTTCGCCTGCCCATCTAATCAACTTCATAATTCCTCAGACTTCATGTGGTCCCTGGGGGCTGCACTCCGTACATTCGTGACATGTTGAAGAAACAAGAATGAGACGAGAAATATTAGCACGTACTCGATCGTTGGTGAAACGGTTCAAGTGTATTTCTAATCCATTAAAAAAAACATCGATGTAAATATGATTCTCTATAAATGTTCGCATCACGGTCTCTAGTCCCATACCGGTCCTCAGAACCGGTCTACAATTTTTTTCTCCTCTTTTATTCACACGAATGAGCTCAATAAAAACATCTAGATTCACTAGTCCTCTGCATATATTCTCCCATTTATATTTCACTCTGGGTAAATATCTCTCACTCCCCTCAATTTGCCTCGTCGTACATTTAATTTCTGCTCATCTTTAATTTGTTTATCTAGCCGCTATGATTTAATATAATCGTTCAATTATATCCACTTATTCCACTCGTATGATTTTTCACACATTTTTTGTATACACAGCCCCCACCTGTTGCATATGTAAAAAGTGTAAAAAATTATTTACACTCGCCAATCCGCGCGTGAATAAATCTCTATCTATTTATCATCATATATGCGTCTCTGAACAATCGTTTTCTCTAACAAAACTCAATCTGAGTGTTATAAATCCTTTTTTTCCCTCACTGTGAGTCAGTGCGTGTTCTTAATTTGGCTCTGGCTGTTACCAGGGGATTTGGTGGTTCGACGATCGGTGGTTGCTCCTGTGGAGAACATTTATTCGATTACATTGATAGGTTTCTGTCGATAGCGTATTTTATCACCTTGGTTGAAGGGCTTTTCGCGGTTTACTACTCACCGAGAGCTCGAGCTGCCTCGCCCTTTGTTCAAGAGCTCGTTGGAGGGCTGTCCTTGGGTCATCCTTGTACGTTTCCTCTCGATTTCTCTCGGATTCTCGTCGCATCGCTGCTTCACGCTGTCTCTCCAATGCTCGTTCAAGTTCACTCTTCTGATTTAATACATTTTTACCCCTTCAAATAACAAACAAAAATAAAGACCTGTTGGGTAACTAAATGACAGTAGACGAAGAAATTTGACAAGTTCGCTGAAGCGATGGATCAAAAAATTATGGGTTTTAGGAGAGAATATTTGAGATGATATTTGTTCTCGGAAATTTTATCAGCTACAAAAAAACTACAAAAAAGTTCGCTATAGTTTCCACGTCAAATGGATATTTTTTAAAATAAATCAATGATTAATAAGAAGAATAGTAGTTGGGTTGTAATTGGGTGATTATTGGGTGATAATTAGGTGATAATTGGGTAAAAACTCACATTTTCTGATTGAAAAGCAATTCTCTACGAAGGTCCTTATGATTGTTGGATATGAGGCACGGGTTGTAAGGCTTACGGGGTAGAATGAGGCCATCTGGGCCCATATGGGGTGCAGGTGGAGGTGGTGGAACTCCCATGACAGGTGCCATATCTCCTCCTGGAATCAGAAAATTGTAAAATCAATACGTGTCGAATGTTCTGGTTGGGGAAATGAAAAGCCCGGTTACTTTGACACTGATAAACCTGAGGCTCGATGTCATCATTTCTCTTGCCATATTCACTCTCCAGAAATGCTATCCGCGCCCTGACAGAACCTGCCAGACTCATGACAGAGAGATCAGAATTCTGAATGAGATATTTCAGGTCGCGATTCTATCATAATACCGATGCATTGTATAACTAGTGCCATAGGGCTTCGTGTACTAATCGAATAGAGGAAAGGCACAAGTGGGCAGTCAAGGTAAACTGCAGAAATAGAGGCAGGTCAGATTCATCAATCACCATCGCCTGGAAAATTTGCAATTCCACGCATTCTATTTTTTTCCCAGGGTTTTCTCCACTTCGGAAAGTATTTTTAGATCTCGCTATCACCACAAATCCTCTCAAAGACGATTGTAGATCGAGCGTGACGTCAATGCTAACGTGCTCTCTGATAATGGAAAAACAGAGCGCAAAAAGTGCCATCTCAAGGTCTTGGATACAGGCCAATAAAATTTTCATTGTAAATCCATCTATTGCGTGAGCTACTACGATTTTATTCAATCCTATTCATGTTTTCAACTGAAGCTCAACTAAATTGTTCAACATTTACGAAATTTCAAAAATATCAGGATTACGTAATTTAATTTCATAGATTGAGAAATAAATTAATGGAGATTAAAGAGATTAATGGATATTTGAATAGGCAAACGCGATTGGATTCCACATAAATTTGTCTTGGTTGGAAAATTTCAAGTTTTATTGATTGAGTTTTCAAGAGTAATTTCTTAAGAACGACTTAATTGGAACATACGATTTTTCGATACGGTGTGTTACCCATGTGGTGTGACAGGGGACCCACTTAGAAAGGAGGCAATGTCGACGACTTTCGTGTACCATTTGGCAAGTTGTTATAAAACTCCACGATTCGGGGTCTTCGGGGACCTGTTAAATTATAATTCAACGACCTGAAGCGACATGAAGAGAAAATCCAAAGGTTCATTAACGGTACGAAGTTGAAAATAAATTGAGAACATGTGGAATTTGGTTGAAAAACATTAGCTTGAAACGATCTTTACACAAAAGTTGATAACCCAAGAATAAAAAAAGATGAGTTGCAAAATGATTGTTAGTGTCCTCGTAAATCTTGAATTTCCGTAAATATCTTGAGACAAATAGTAAAAACTGGCAGGGAATACTGAAACAACCATAAACAACCTGCGAAAGCCGAAGCTAATGAGCAGCAATTGACGGTTTTATTGGACTTTTTGAATGACCGTCACGGATAGATGACAATGAGGGAATGCCTGGCTTTCCCCGGCAATTTAGTCGGTTCGATGGACAATAGAGCATAGAAAATATCGTCTCGTTATCTGAAATCCATTCGACTTTCTTTTAAATTGTCGAACCTTCCTATCCCCAGAAGACTGATGAGCAATCGATTGATTTAGTAAATTAATACCTAAATTGGTGTGAAATTGGAAGTTACGTGATGCAATTGCCTCCTCCAGATAAACACGTTGATATCAGAAACGTTATCAAGAAGCCAATATCGGTATTTCAATCAATATCAATTCCCCAAGAGTTCACCAACTCCAAAATAAATGAAAATAAACGCGATATCGTAATGAGGAATAATCCCATTTCTCCTCCAATATTTAATTTTAATGTTCGAAAGTCCTCGCGTACGTTTGCTCTAACGAAGCATAAGAAATTGGATGGGTTTTGTATCTCCTTGGAAAACTCAATAACTATCGTATGCTCTGCAACCAAATCGAGAAAAGCGAAACGAAAGTAAAAAAGTGCTCTTGAATTAAAAGAAGTATTACCAGCAGGAAAAAGCTTGGCGATGTTTCGGATGATTCGTTTTAACGAGCCGAAAGTGAAATTTCAGAGCATTTCTTTTATTGGTATCATTTTCCTAACATCGTGGAAATTTAAAGAAAAGAAAAATGGGCCATTTCTTCAGCAATTTGTGAGCACTTTCCCTCCAGTTTTTACATCAACAGACACTTTATTTCATCCGCGACATTGAAAAAACGGATTATTTTTATTCTTCAGCTCCAGAATCAATTTTTCAACCGAGAAAATCAATTTCGTTCGAGAAATTCCCATGAATAGCGTGTTATCAGGTCCATCAATCATCCGTGATTCCAATCCAATCAATGGATTACCCCGTCCCCGTCGAGGCCGTGAGTTCATTGATTGAAATGATTACGTCATCGATTAATCCATAACAATTGAGATAAAATAAACTCTCGGTGCAAAACCTCACAGCGAAAATGAACGAGTGACGGTTTAAAGAGAACCGGAATTGCCGCAGGAAGTCGTCTCCTTAGCCCTTGCACACTCATTAACGTTTAAATGCCCTCGGTTGTGACCTCTAAGGTCAATTGACCGATGATTAAAGGAATTGGTCATCGGTACAACGAAAAAAGACGGGAAAATTTCAACTAAAACGTGTGACTCACCGTTCGTCAAAGACTCACAGCTGTCGGGATCCCTTTTACCGCCGTTTGTAATCACCTGAAAAATAAAGGAAATCGTTTGGTAAATTTCACAATACTTAACGGTCACGATCCAACAGTGTCATAAAATTCAAGGGGAAATAAAGCAAACGGGAAAATTGAAGTGAAAATGTACGCGTCTTCTTATTCTACGAATAATTCAACGAAGTTTTACTCGATTTTTTTATCAATGGATTAGTACAGATTATGTGCAAATGAATATTTAATAATATTTATGATTACTACGATGGTAATTAAGATGTTATTGCCGATATCTTCTCATTTTAATTTGAATTTCTCAGAAATTTGTAAAAAAACTTGAAAAATGAGAGAATATCGGCAACAACTTCTTAACGTTTGAACAAATGCGAAGAAATATTATTTATTGATTAATATTGAATTGATATAGTATGGATTGGTATAAAAAATTGTTTTTCATGCTATTCAGTTATAAAATACCAGAAAATATGCAGCGGCTAGTGTACCAAGAGGGTAGAGCAGCCTGAAGTGGCTGTTTTTTTTTCTACACGATGAGATTGAAGAGTGAATTCTTCAATATAGAACAAAGGATGAAATCCACGAGGGAATATTTTCCCGTTCGATTCCATCGTACCGAGTCTCCACGCTTCGGTAATTTCGATCCAACATTACCGGGAAGTAAGAAACGCAAGAGGCTAGCCTTCTCGAGCCATTTAATTGCCAGCCAAGATGCGAGAAACGAAAGTCTTGGATGTAGAAAAGCCTTCCATACCTCTGATCACTGTCCAGAGAATTAGGGGCCATTCGCCAAACTATGACAAGAGTTTCTCAAAACTATCGGTATGAGCCAAACTTTCAGTGGGACAACGATCTTCTGCCAAAACTATCAGTAAAGAGGAGTTGAAATGAATGGGTAGTAAACATTCGGGATGAAAATTAATGAACTAAAGGGGGAGTGAGAGAAATTGAGGGCAAAGACAAACAAAAGCGTGAGATAGGAATGACGATTAATAAACATAAAAGGGGGAGTAATTTTTTCATTTTTATTTTCGATGGAGCGGACAAGCCTCGTTGAGCTTGAAGTCTCCGGAAGGAAGTGGATTAGGGCTACAGTATTATTTTTTTTATCGGAACGGGGCTATCGGCTTTTTTAGTCATGTCAATATCACACGATAGGATAAAAATGCACCGCAAGGAATAATTTCCTCGGTGCACTATCTTCAGGCAATTCCGGTTAACCGGGTATTGAGAAAATCAAGGCCTCGAGACCTTTTCAAACAAATATTAATTACAGAAGAGACGTTTATTGTACTCCATAAAATTCTACAAAACGATCTCTTGATATGAATTTTCTTTCAGGGTTTATGGTGATTACAAGTTTTACGTTCTTACGGGAATTGAGATCCCTCCACGCCCCAAACACCTCCTCAAACAGTCAATTCGCTAATTAAACCGTTAATTAGTCCCTCCGACAATTGTTTTAAACGTCTCAATCCGCCGGAAAAACATGTTCCGCTGTACACTGAACAGTAAACGCCTTCTGGGAACAGCCGGGGCTAATTAGCCCCTCATTTAATAATTGAATCTCCTCATGACGCTCACTTTCATCACGATCCTCAGACAAGTGTTAAATAATCCATTGAAATTCGCCTCGATAAATTGTCCTTTTCAATCGATCGCTTTCACTAGAATCATTTCGAAATGGAAATCAAAACGAAAATTCAACCGGTGACATAAGGAATTATTGCCGATATCTTCTCATTTTCCATTATTTTGGAAATTTAAGGAAAATCGTCGATCAGATTGACGCCGAAAAATATAACGTTTTTAAGTTTTATTATTATTGAATGGCAAATTTTTATAACCGTGCGTTTATTTGTTCTTAATTTTTGGTGTAAATTTTTGCGAATTTTTGCCAAAAATTATAGAAATACAGTAGAGACATTGGAAAATAAAACTTATAAACGGTATATTTTTTAAATTCAACGTTCGGGTTTAACAGAAACTTACGATGGGATTGCCGTGAAAAAATATCCGATTTTAGTGTTTTGTCATCATTTAATGACTCATGAAGTTTCAAGGAGGCGCGAACGTCCTCCTCCCTTTTTTCTAATCTTCAAAAAAATTACAGAACTAAAAAAAACGCACGACAATGATCACACCACCAGGACATTTCGTGATTCATTAATGACAAAACGCAAAAACGTCTCACTTTTCACTTTGAAGCCATCAATAATTTTTCAGAAAACTCCGAAAAACGTGAATCTCGATCAAAAGGGCGTTGAATCCTTAATGTAAACAAGCATTAGATAATTCTTGTTAATTCAAACTGCGTGTTATTATATACCGGTGTCAGTAAAACACCCGGAAGCGTTGCGCCAGTCACATAATCACCGCAATCCGCAATTTATTCACAATAGTGTGTTAAAAACACCCGTTACCTCACGATCATCAGAGGCTTTAATTGTTTATTACATCTGATGCCGACTCGAGTTAATGCTCCATAATCATCAGTCCCTAAAATGATAAAATAGTTCATATCCCCGAATTAACTCCAAATTCAATAAAATACGTAATTCCCCCGCAACGCACTTTCTCTTATTATTTCGAATTACTTCAGACTAAAATTAATTAAATAATCAGTTTCCCAACCATAATCATTCCAAAAAAAATTCATAAATCCGGGGAATTGATGCGACACCTCTCCAATTAATTTCATAATTTTTCCTTGATGACGAATGCCGTGAGTTTTTAGGATTACCTAAAAACCTGAATGAGTCGCGAATGCAAATAATTTCATCACGAATGCAAATGACGGTTGAGTAAATGTTGAGTTCCATTCTCCCTCTCTAGCTTTTCATGCGTTCAAGGTGACGTATTTCCCCGCCACAATTAGCGTCCATATTTTTTTTTTCTGTGATATTACACGTGACACTTGTGCTCTAGTCACTCAACAACAATTTGACCTCTGTAACGGGCCCCAGCCCCACCTCAACAGCAAAAGCCCAGTTTTATTTCAACTTGAGAGGCATCACTTTATCCGTATGTACTGTTAAAACCAGGCTATTCTCGATACGTGTGCCAAAAGGTACATAAAGTGCGTGTTACAGCTGTCGTCCAGTGTCTAACGTGTTTACCGGTGAGGAACGTCATTCCCAGAGAGTTTTTGCGCGTCTCGGAGTAGCGAATCATCTCAGGAAAAATACGGAGAATATATCCAGGGTGGAAGACACAATTTCCTCGATATAAAAAAAAGAGCTAATTCTCACCAGGTGCTCCAGCAGGAGGTCCAGCCCTCCACCATCATTCCAGATCTGTCCCCAGGGTTGCAAGTTTGTCTTGACTTGGTCTTCTGTTGGGTGTTGGATTTTTTATTTGGTAATGATTTATCCGCTCAGGAAGTGATGGAGTTTTAGTCACCGCACACGATGTTCACTGCCCGAGAGACTGAACTCAACTGAACAGAATACAACGGCACGAAGGCCTCATGGAGGAAGAGAGACGAGAAAAAAACAACGTTCGTTTGAATCCCACGAGGACTTTCACTCGCACATCATAATCCTACGATCTGACTCAATCGGTGGGATTGTGCATCACAGAGGGTGATGAGTTGATGCTGTGGGTGCATAAATTAAAGTAATCTCGTTTCAATGATTTTTTAGGATTTCAATCTTAAACGAGATCACTGAAAATATACCGACCCAGGGTGATTATACTGTCAGAGAATTACTCATGAAACTTCAAGTTTTCAAATCCTAAATAATCCCTTATCTGCACATCTGCACTCTTCATTGGTATCGCAGGAAATTTGTATGAATAGTCAATGATATTATAATTTTTGTGGGAATACGTGAATTGGAATTAGTGGAAATAATGAATTCAATCATTATTTTTCGAAGAATTCAGTGTGAGATTTTTACAGGAAAATTGAGGATTAATTGAATTAAATTGCTTCTGTTATTTTATAATAAAATCGACAATTCAATCAATTTTTACCGTCTATAAATATATTCTACCGGATTTTCAAGGAAATCATTCCAAATTGTAAGAATTACTTAAAAATTCGCAGACCCAACGATCAGGATTCAATGAATCAATAGTTCAATAGTAATTACACCGTACTTCATTTAATCTCTCTATTTTATTACTAGTTAATTACGATTAATTAATTGTAAATGAGTGCTAATGAATTTCTCTCATAGTTATTTGAGATTCAGGAAATGAAATGGTCGGTAGTGAATTTGATTGAAAAAATCGGGAGAGAGGATGAATGAACAATTGACGAATTGTTTAGAGTCCATTAGTATAATGTCGTCCTTATTCACGTAGTCAAAACCCGTTGTTGGCACTGTCAAGTCAATCGGAAATCCCGTATTGTCCCGGTGCAGTCCAACATTTCAACGACATCGCGACTTTCTCTGGGGAATGACAACTCCAACTCACTGTCGAGTCCCTCCTCGAAATCCTCGAGATGATCATTTCCACTGCACCTCGGATGTACAAATGTTTTTATCACTCGGGATCTCAGTTGAATAGGCGCTCGAATGCTCTTGGTGATGGGTCCGGGTGTTTTTCTCTTTGGAGTAATGACAGAAATTACGACCAGCAGAGCAGATCTACTCCTAATTTTTAAATTCAACAGCATGTTGTGTTTGCCCATCGATGAGTTGCCCGTGTAAAACTTTCGTTTACCCACGATATTACAATTTATTTATGAAATGTTTATTATCTTCGTCGACCTACGGGTAATTGCACACATATTAACAGAAAAAATACGGAAAGAAAATTTTTTTTTGCCATTCCTCCCGGGGTTGATCTAGCATTTTTGGGGATGGACAGCGAATTTTTTATAAAATTGAAAATTTTGTTTTCACTTCGTGAAAAAGAGAGAGACTTTTATAAAAAATCTAATTTTTTATCAACTAATGATTAATTTAAATATATTCGCCTTCTAGATAATAAAAAAGTTTTCAGACTTACGCAAAATACAATAACAAAAAATTCCTTTTTGATTTCGGTCCAAGGGGTTGATCTAGGATT